TTTGTGCCCTCCAAGGATCATGAGTATTTGTATACTCACCCCGCACCAAACTACCTGGTGGTGGAGTTAGCCAACCACATGCTAGGGATGATGTGACATTTGGTAGAGCAGTGTTGCTGTCTGCATGCCCTTGAAACTCCCACCTCAGCAGATACTACTTAGTCACCTATGTTGAATGGCCATGAGCAAGCACTCATACAAGAAAACTTATTTCTATAATTGGTATTCTTCAAGATGTGTTGCTCATGACTATTCAACACTCCACCCTTCTTCCCCTCTGTCAGAGTTTCTGGCAAGAAGGAACTGAGGAGGGAAGGGTCTGGAGAGTGCCCTATATAGTGTGGCATGTGTGCACCACTCCTTGGGGTGCTGGACCTGGTGCTCTACAGGTAATGCTGAAGGAAAAATCTTATAGCACCAATGTATGTGCAAGCATATACACCTATGTTGAATGGACATGAGCGACATAGCTAGAAGAACACCAGTTATGGAAACAGGTAATTGTCGTATCCTCATTTTGACTGGTTACATCAGGACAGGATGCTGAGATAGTCATTAATTGTGTCTAGAAGTTCTTCGTCTTGTAACAATTATTGCTGAAACCCACAATGGGGAGAGACAATTCTTGATGTAGACCTAAGTAGTGCAAATATCTGGTCCAAGAGATGAATATAGCTATACCACTCAGTGATAGTGACTATAATGTAATTAAATTTAACATTTTTGAACTGAGGGGGAGGGAATCCCAAAGAAACCCATCACAACAACATTTAATTTCAAAAAGGAAAACTAAGCACAGATGAGGAATAGAAATTGCCTAGAGAGGTTGTAGAATCTCCATCACTGGAGATATTTAAGAGCTGGTTAGACAGACATCTATCAGGGGTGATCTAGATGGTGCTTGGTCCTGCTATGTGGATGGGGATTGGACTTGATGACCTCTTGAGTCTCTTCCAGTTCTAATGTTCTGTGATTCTGTGATTAAAAGGAACAGTCAGTCACAAGAGTGACATTCCTTCAAGCTACATAGAAACATTTTAAAAGAACCATAATAGAGGCTCAGATTAAATGTATAGCCCAAATTAAAAAGAACACAAAGGCTGTGTCTACACAGTAGCGTTATTTCTGAGTAACTAATGTTATTCCAAAATAACAAACAGTGTGTCTGCACTGCAAGCCATTGTTTCAAAATAATGGCAAGCTGAAGGACTTCTTACTCTGACTCATTTTACAAAGAGTAAGGGAAGTTGGAGGAAGAGTGATCTTCCTTGGACTTCCTGCTGTATAGACAGCATCAAAAGCTGAAATACGCTATTTCAACCTTAAGCTATGCAGTTGACGTAGTTGAAGTTGTATAGCTTATTTTGGCTTTAGCCCTGCAGTGTATACATGCCCTAAGAGCACTAAATCTAAACAACCCAGTATAAGAGACAATTAAAGACAAAAAGCCATTCTTTAAAAAATTGAAGTCAAATCCTACTGAGGAAAATGGAAAGGTGCATAAACTCTGGCATTTTAAGTATAAAAATATAATTACACAGACCAAAAAAGAATTTGAACAACTGGCAAAAGACACAAAAACAAACAGCAAAAGTCGTGTAAGTACATCTGATTCAGGAAGCCTTTCAAACAATTATTGGGGGCCAATAGATGATGGAGGTGCTAAAAGAGCACTAAAAGAAGACAAGGACATTGCAGAGAAGCTAAATTTATTCTTTGCTTCCATCTTCACTGAGATTTCCACATCTGAGCCATTCTTTTTGGTGATATCTTTTGAACTGTCCCAGATTGAGGTGTCAATAAAGAAGGTTTTGATACAGATTGATAAATTAAACAGTAATAAGTTACCAGGACCAGGTCATATTTATCTTAGAGGAAACTCAGTTATGAAATTGCAGAATTACAAATGGTGGTATGTAACCTATTACTTAAATCATCCTCTGTACCAGATGACTGGAGGGATAGCTATTGTAGTGCTGATTTTTTCACAAAAATGATCCAGAGATGATCCTGGCAATTATAGGCCAGTCAGTCCTTACTCCAGTACCAGGAACATTGGTAAAAATTATAATAAAGAACAGAATGATCAGCCACATAAATGAATGCAATATGTTGGGGAAGAGTGTCCTTGCTTTTTTAAAGGGAAATAATATTTTATCAATCTGTTCGAGTTTTCTGAGGGTGTCAAGAAACATGTGTACAAGGGTGATCCAGTGGATATAATATTCTAGTGTGATGCTATATGCCAGGGCAACTAAACTTTGGAAGCCCAGAGGGCCACAATGATACTCACAGAACATGCCAATATATGCAAATAGCTTTTCACACTAATGGGCATGAATACAAAGATTAAGCCTTTAGCCACGGCATCGGACTCAAATGTGGCCACTGTGAGTCAATCAGCACTTCTCAGGCTCTGCCCACAAGGCTAAGCAGCCAGCATTTCTCACAATGCCCCAGCACTCCCAGCGCCTCCTTCCTGGGGGCTAAAAATGCCAAAAACCTGTATCCATCTGTTCCAGCCAGCCCGTCCACTTGCATCTTTCAGTGCTCATCTTGCCTGGGAGATGCTCTGACATTGTGGAGAGTGTTTCCAGTGGAGGCCATTTTCAAAGGATCCCACCCACAGGCTGCATGCAGCCTCCGGGCGACATGTTGAGCAGCCCTGCGATAACCCATGTTCATCAGTACTGTGATACATTTTGTACAAAGAATGTCTTTTGAGGTATCATTTGAAAACTCATAGTTTGCTGATCATTATTATCCTGCTAAAATCTGTGGCAACATTGTATGTAAAGCTATAAGAGTCTGCTGTATGATATTATTAAGATCTATTTCAAATCTGGGGAAGCAGCACAAATCAGTTCCTCAAAAAAAAAAAAAAGAAAGTCTCAGCAAAGTGCTGACAAAATCAAATGGACTATCACTTCATTAAGGGCCCATTCTTTGGCTAAAAGAAAGGTGAAAGTGGGTGATTTTCATCTTGGCAAAAGAACAGCCTGGCCATTGATTGTATGCAGCTGGAGCTGATTCTCAAAAGCCTTGTCTACACTAACCTCCACTGTCAAGCTAATCTACCTGACTTCAGCTGCGCAAATAGTGTAGCTGAAGTGGGCCTACTTACTGTGGTGTCTTGTGTGCAGGAAGGTCAGTGGGGGCTGCTCTCCCATGGACGCCGGCTACTCTTCTCATCCTGGTGAAGTACAGGTGTCCATGGAAGAACATTCTCAAATCAATTCATCACATCTAAGCAGATGTGATAAATCAATGTCCAGTGCGTCAATTGCTGCAGTGTCAGTCCCTGGTGCAGTGAAGGCAAGCCCATAGAGGAGAAAGTGTTATAAAAATGAGGAACAGAGGCCCAAAATTATCTCTCTCCACTTACCTCTGCTCGTGGCATCAACATTTGAAATATTAGTTTGCATTTTACCTTTTATTTCTTTATAACCAATTTGGACTTTTGTGACTCGTTAATTGTAATAACTTAAAATCTATCTCTTTGTAGTAAATTAATTTTCTTTTCATCTAAACCATTGTGTGCTTGGATTGAAGTATTTGGAAAACTTCATTTGAAATAATGAAGTTTGCGCTTATCATTTTCTGTTAATGAAACAACAGACTTTTTGTGAGCTTGTATAGACAAGAAAGGTACTGGACAGTACATGATCCAGATTTCTAGGGACAAATCTAGGACTGGGAATTTGCTGGTAACCCTCTGCAATATAATCCAATCAAGGTGCAACTACACAGCAACATTATTTTAAAATAACTTAGTCCACGTCTACAGTTATTTTGAAATAATGTCAAAATACTGTCAAGATAGAGGACTTCTTACTAGGACTCCCATAACCCTCATTGTACGAGGAGTAAGGGAAGTCAGAGGAAGAGTGCTCAATTTCAAAGTAAGTGCTGTATTGATGCTCCCAATTTCAAAATAAGCTATTTTGAAATAACCTATGATGTAGCTCAGTTTGTGTAATTTCTTTTGAGTTAAGCCCGGCTGTGTAGATGCTCCCTTAGAGAATTGAGGGGACACAGCTGCTCAACAGTCCAGATTGTACCTGAGTAATGTTACAACTTGGACTTTCAGAACACTTTTGACAAGGCCTCTCATCAAAGGCTCTTAAGCAAACTAAGTAGTCCTGGAAGGTCCTGTCATGGAAACAAAGGATAGGTCTGGATGGTCAGTTTTAATAGTGGAGAGAGAGAAATAGCAGGGTCTTGTGAGGATGTGTATTGGGACCAATGATGTTCAGCATATTCATAAATGAACAGTGAACAGGTAACTTCCCACCCCAGTTCTTTTTTCAGATTGGGAAATTCATCAACTCCAATTCTTTCTATAAACAGTTTCAGTTTTCTTGAGTCTGTATTTTCCCATGAAAAAATATGCTGAAATTATCTATACTATATAATTACTAATTATTTTACAATTATTAACTAGATCAATGCTAATTCGGATATACAAGTCAAGACTTCTGTTGAAAATGTCACATTATTTCATTCAATTTGGATGAAAAATAACTTCCTAACTCCCATGTCATCTAATCCATATTTTCTGCTACCCAACTGCACAATCTTTTGATTTAATTGTCAAGTCTCTCTACCTTATTACATATTGTTGCTGTAAAACTATATGATATTAATAACCATAAATAAATATAGACCAATAAGAACTCGGAGATTCCAGAAAAAAATCAAGAACAGCCATTAATGTTGATGAACAAATGTCTTCAAGTAGATATGCCATTTGATACTTATGCCCAGTGATAATGATGAATAAATGTCCTCAAGTCAATACTTTTGGTACTTATGTACCTTCCTAATTGATTAAACTTACTGGTTATCATTGTGGTGTTTCAGAAAAATAGACCTGCAGATTGGTGGTTTGGTAAAGTTGTTGGTATTTTGGAGGTTTTTGAAATTGTTCATCCCACTTAACTATTGTTTCTCAAACTGTGAAATTTTCTAAATTACCTGCTTAAAATTATATGTACCAGGTTTACCAGAGCCAAAGAAAGATGGTATATTCCAAGGACTGAAAATGGATCAAGGTTTCTACACATCTAAAGACTTCCTACCACTGGTAGCAATGGCAAGTAAACCAGGTGTGTGAGTATATCATTTTATAATATATCATTTTAAATGTGCTTAATAGAGGGTTGGCAATTATATTAGTACTAATGGGGTCCCATAGCACACAGACACTTATACAGTGGTATATCAAGTAAACGGTACATGTAGATGAAGAAAGATGTATGATTTAGGTCACTGTTTCTCAACCAGAGGGTCACAGTCCCCTTAGGGATGATGAAAGTCAACTGGGGAGGTTATAAATCAATGAAAATCTGATTACAATTCTACAACAAAGAAAATGAAGTTTGTATATGTGTGTGTGTGTATATATATATATCTCCCAGATGATAATGACTATAAAAAAGAAAAAAAAGTGTAGAATAATAAATAATTATATACTATATTATACATTTTATCAATGTTAATTAAATTATATTTGGATAAATTACATAGGCTCATCATGTTTATCATTGATACATTTACACACTTTTCTAATAAATGTAAGATGCTCATGAAAACTTGAAGTTGAATAAAGGTTTGCCAGCCTGAAAAAATGAACATACATTGGTCTACATAGGTTATGGAGAGTACCATGCTTGTCTAAACATTAAGAATAGTCCTTTTTAGAAATAAAATCACATTCTGCTTGACTTGGGATGTCAGTATATGATGGTGTTTTAGTCAAATGATAATTTCTATATTTAGTTTTCCAGGCTTATATGCAATACAATCTATATACTATAATTATGCCATTATCACCTACAGAATGGAACAGTTCCATGTGCTCTACGTGGCACTACACCTGAAAATCATTCAGAAACTTCACGTGGTTTGAATGTGGCTGCTTGCTTATTTATCAGTTTCCCACAAACACCGTCTTGTTCAAATGTCTATTGCAGGGGCTTTGTTTCCTGCTTATAAAAGTAAAATTTTATGTTATCCCTTTTTAGTACAAAGTGGAAGTGTCGCAGAAAGAAAAAAATGATCTCTTCTCTATTCCATCCCTCATCTGTTTAATAGATTACTTTTGTCCATTTTCTCAAGCTGGAAATAAATTTAGAAACAAAAATGTGGGGAATAGGAGGAAGGAAATCACTGAGAAAGAGTTGATTACAATAGATGTGATGAAGAACTATAAAACCATAAAACATGTATTGATACATAAAAATCAAACCATACAAAACTAAAACTATCACTTTGAAACAGTTATAAAATACAGAGATTTATATTATAAGACACAAAACTGAACTCAGTGGGATGATCTGAATACTTAGTTATTCACATATATATATATATATGTTTGCAAGATCAGGATCCATGTGCATTAAAAAACCATCTCTCATTGAGGAAGTATATTGTATTTTCTAGATGATAAATAAATGTTATTAGATTTAGTCCAAAAAGGTTAAGTTTAAACTTTGAGGAAACAGACCAATTTTTCAGTTTCTCAGATCACTCTAAAATATTTTCATCCATACTGCCTAGATATTTGGTATCCTACATTAATAAATGTATTTCTTTTACAACATTACTTTTTCTAGTGTCTGCCCAAGGGTCTAAGATCTTCATGCTATTTAAAACACAAAATTCAAAAATAATATTTAGTCATCCAACAAAATATTTTTTCTTAGTTCCAAGATAATTCTCCAGTGATTAGATTCACCCACAAATAAATATACATATTAGTTATCCCCATTTGAAACACTCCACCAAAACTATTACTCAATTTTCAGCTCCATTGCTTATGAATTTATATTCCCACAAATTGGTTCCAAGAAATAGCCTTCCACATTAAAAACAAATGTGTGTGAAATATAAATATCTACATATGCATTTCCCACCAATGTTTAGACATGTGAACATTCCTATTAACTTTTAGGCCCCAATCCTGCAAGTTATTGTGGTGGGCAGTTCTTTGCACCCTTTTGCAGGACTCAGGTCTTATCTCTGAGAGAAACCAAGATCTGATGGGACTAAAGTTCTTTCTTGCTCATTTAAAATAGTATTTTTAGGCATGTTGGAATTGTGTCATAGACATTCCTTGCATTGTCATCTCCCATATTCTGCTTGTTTTTTCATAAAATAAAGGAGTTCATTTTCCATTGCTGTCAATCTACCACCTTTCATTGGACTGAATTCACTTGGGAGATAAATTATTCTAGACGGAAACAGACGTAGTAAAGTAATCAGATCCCCTTGTCATAGACACATGGGAAAATGACCAGGCCTTGCAGCGTATGGTATGTCTTTTTAAGTGGGAAGGGGTTTGGAGATTAGGATATCTTTGTTTTTCTTTTGTGAATTTAAATTTTTAAAATTATTTTCTTTAAAGAAATTTATATTTGTGCTTCTGCACCCTTCCTGTGAAAATTCACAACTTGTATAGCACTAAGTTAAGAGTTACAGAACACTGATTATATGGTCAACACAAATACTTCGGAGTGAAACTGTCATTGACTCATTGAGATTATAGATTTATATTATTTCTGGTATAATGTTAAAAATTACCGTAATTTCTCTAATCAGCAGTTAATTACATTTAAGCTGATGCTAAAGTACAATCCAGAATATCAAGCACATGCACTGCATTTTAGTTTCACTTAAGAATCTCTTACAACTGACTTATCAAGTAAAGTCCCCTGCATAATGAATACTCAGATGGTCCGTCTTCTCTCTCTTTCATTTTTTGCAAATAAAGTCTCCAGAAAACCAGTACAGAATAAGTTCAGAACAAGGTCCCTAGAAATTATTGCAAGATTAATAATTTTACTTCAACATGTCCGGCTGCAATATCAAATATTTTATGGTAACTATGCCATAACCAGGATATATTCAGAGTCTTTTTTATAAAAATTACTTAGTTCATATGGCTAAGAAATTAATATTATTAAATTATCCAATAGGGCAATAAACAAATCAAAAGATGTTAGAAATATACAGAATGTCACTCTTTATAAACTATAAAAATGGTTTTTACTTAAGAGAATAATGAATCTGATGAAATTAGTCAAAAGTTTAATTTTTGAGTTGATGACCTCAAATTGATTGAATCCAGTATAATAGAGCCTACATTCTTAAAAAATGTATTGTACTTTATAATCCTCCATGATGGGCAGGCACTGCTGCTAAGGGTACTGACTATGAAATTACATATATGAGCATATCTTAAAAGTGGGAATATAACTGTCTTTCAATGAAGCAGAATAATTTGATAGTGACACTCCATGCTTGGAAACTGGAAGATGCAATTTTACACTGCTTTGAGTGCAAGTATCTTTTTCAGTTGTCATGCAGAAATGGTTCTCACTTGAAAATGGGGTTTTCTTTTCATCATCCAGGAATGTGTGCCTGTCACTCTCCATTGCCATTGATACAGGGAACTGTGATAGTACTTGGAGCAGGAGACACTGCTTTTGATTGTGCAACATCTGCTTTACGCTGTGGAGCTCGCCGTGTATTTGTGGTCTTCAGAAAGGGATTCACTAATATCAGGGCTGTTCCTGAGGAGGTAAAACTGATCAGAACATTTTTTGTAGTAGTAACAATATTGATTTTATTAGATGGAACATTGATTATCATTATTATTTATACAGGGCCCAAATTGTTCAAGGCACGTAAAACTGTGTTATGTAAGGCTTAATTCATCAAAATAAAATTGAAATGTTTAAATGTTTGCTCAATATCTGAGGCTCAATTTATGTTGTCCCTGTGTCAGTTTATGCCCTTAGTTAGGCTTGTGCAATTCTCTGTGAAGTCAGTGAAAGTTTCACTTGTGTATATAACGGTAAATTTGTGTCCTTAGTTTATAAAGTATAAAATATGAAGAAACATTTAAACTCACATATGCCCTCCAGATAACAAATTATGAGATGTACCAGAATCACTACAGCCTTTGTAGTATTACTGATGACTCTTCAGGAATCTCTGATTTTCCAAGGAATGTGCATTTCTGGGACATGCTTTAAAGAATTTAAGTGATCCAGAAAAGTGCTAGGAACTAGACACGTAAAAAGGTTAATTATAATTATTTATGTGTCGAATACCTATCAAAGGCTGGTGAGTGATGGCATTCTGCATATCTTTTTATGGTTTATTTGATTCTGATTAACATTTTTTATTATGAAACCTTTTTCATTCTAATTTAACTGTTAGATTTTGCTGGTTTTATTTGGCACATACTTTGGATTATTGTATAATCTGTACTAATGAGACATGTAATGCACCTCAGTCATGTAATTTATGTGAAAATAGTTCTGTATTTTAAAGAGTGTGTACATCTTTGGAGACCTGGTAGTTACACAAAGGAGGTGAAGGGACATAATAAGCAATATAATTTCTCAATGTGCATAATTTGCTTCTGTTTTCCTTGCCATAAAGCAAACATGCAAGATGGAGAGGGAGATATTTTAAAAAAGCTTATTCAAATAGATTCATATCCTGATCGGTTTTTCACTTCATCAGTATTCAGACTACCATGATCTCTGTGTGTGCATGTGCAAATCTTTATATTTCATTTAAGGTTGTCATTCATAAAATCTGTAATTATACCTATTAACTAAATCACACTACAAATTAGAAATTAATAAAGTAAAAATTGCCCCTAACCAAGCATAGCCCTTATTCAGGTTTCAAACATTACTAGATGTTGTAGAATGTAACTGAGATGGAAGAGATTATTTGTCATATAATCATGTAGGGCCAAATGCTGCCTGGAGAATTGCAAATATTACGGTATTTACGAAAGGAGAAAAAAAACCTGATTCCAGAAACTATAGACTTGTTTATTGCTTCAATTATATGGTAGGTATTAGAACAAAGTTTGAAAGAATAATTAAAGAAAGAAGTAAATGTCAATTGGGATAAAATACAGTAAGGTTTTACAAAAGGTCAATCATGCCCAAAGCAACTTGACCTCTTGCTTTGATGATCAATTTTCTAGACAAAACAAATGCATTAGATCTAAACTACCCGAATTTCAGAGGATAAAATATGAAACATTAATGCTTGTCTTCATTGGTGGTTATGTTGATTGACTCAATATCACTGGAGACTTTTGAGTAAACATCAAGAATAGACTGTAGTCCTACATAGCAATCTTTTTTTGATAAATATGGAATGTGTACAAACATCATGAATCAAAGCTTCTCTGTGAAAACAATAATCTTTGCATAACTTTTTACACAGGTGGAACTTGCAAAAGAAGAAAAGTGTGAATTTTTGCCTTTCCTCTCACCTCGTAAGGTTGTAGTGAAAGGTAAAAAAATTGTTGCTGTGGAATTTGTTCGAACTGAACAAGTTGAAGCTGGAAACTGGATTGAAGATGAGGATCAGGTTGTCCGTTTGAAGGCAGATGTGGTGATCAGTGCCTTTGGTTCAGTTTTAGGTGATCTTAAAGGTAATACTCAGCTGTAATATGCTATGTAACAGCCTGTTATTATTTTAGTACTGTTACTATTCACAGTTTTGGAATTTTGGCATTCCTCTTCTAAATGTTGACCTTAAATACGACAGGATAAAGGGGCTGTGGGAGAGTGGAATTGAGCTCTTAGCTCTCAGTGTTCAACAGCGAGAAGTAATTTGGGCTGGGTGCCTCAGTTTCTGGTTGCCCAAGTTGAGACATTTTAAAGAGACTCAGTTTTTAAAAAGTGTTGAGTACCTGCCTGGTGATGATTTGTCCCTTTTATTGTATCTCAAGCTGAGTATTCAGAATAACTAATCATTTGATGACACCTTTGTGCATAAGTTATGGAGAAGTTCTTCAATGTGTGGGAATATTACTGTGCAATATAGTCCCAAAATTATAACCAAGTAAAAGAGATCAAGCCAAAATCCAGGCTTTAGTGTTTGTAAACCACGAGGTGTTTGCAGATCATCAACCTTTCCAAGTGCAGTTAATTTTGGAAAAGTGATCCTTTGGTGAATGACATTGCAGCATTCCATATTAAAGCTTAATCAAAAATGGTTCTTAGCCATTGCAACTCCACCCATTTTATCCCCAGCATCTCACAGAATTAGGTACTTATTCCATATATGTAACTTCCTTTTTAAATTAATTCAGTCTACAAGTGAAAATTTAAAATACACTAGGTGCAATAATTGCAAATTCAAGTAGTTGCCTGAAAATCAAGTTGTGTTGCGACTGCTTCATATATCACTGAAAAAGGGGAACTGTGGAAGCAGAACGTAAATGGACAATTCTGTTCTTAATGAAAGAAGAAATTAATACAGCTTGCTTGGGCACAGCTACAAAGGATCTACAATCTTCATCTTGATATTAGCAAACTAAGCAAATATAACTCTAAAAATATATAGTCGAGATGGCTTGTCCTTAAACTTAAGATCCAAACTCTTCTCACAAGTCAGATGTAGATGCAAATGTTGCAGTGCATACCCATCTGTACTTGAAATATATTTGCACTAGTATGATGGCACTTTCTCTTTATCCGACTGTAATCATTCCTTAAGAACTAAGGGCTGCTTTGATGAGCTGAATGGATGAAGGTCCTTTGTATTGCTCAGAGTCAGCAGGGATTCAGACTCTCACACAAGCATTCCTCATGGACTGGAGGCTGAAAAAGCAGGAGCTGAAAACTGATGGGAGAAGCTTGGCTTTTCTTTGAACAGATTGAAGTGATCCTAAGTTCCCTAAAGCATTGTACATCAAAGGTGTATTAAATATCAAAGCCAGTTGTCTCAGAAGAGGAGAAATGGATAACAATTAATTGAGCCTCAACTGGGAGATGTTCACAAAAGTGATCTAGATCTTGGGTGTCCCAAAGATGGACCTGAATACCTCCTCCAAGAATATTAATGCCAGGAAATTACTCCATGGCATGTCATCCTAGAATTTTGAGCATGAATGCCCTAATGAAGGAATGGACCTGACTCCTCCTATCTACTCCTTCCCATTTACTACTTTAAAGTGCTTCAGGAGATAATGCTGGTAAAAATGTGGAAATCCTACTGGCATCATATTATCAACAGAGATTTTGGTTCTCCCAAACCATGCAAAATACAGCTCAAAATCTCATAACATAAGAACCAGGGGTGTGTCTAGACTACATGCCTCCTTCGACGGAGGCATGTAGATTAGCCAGATCGGAAG